GAAACCATCTGGGACTTATTACCTGTCATCACTGATATATTATTTATTTCAATTACGGTACAGATCTAACACAACAACCAGGCGGTTTTACTTTCAAGTGTTAGATTTTAGGATTACATGGCTAAGCACAAATGCATTTAATAAATTTAACTAGTTACTTACTTGCTATTTGAAAATGAAGAGTCGCATTAATTATATGACATATATAAGACAAGAGAGTTGAGAGGAAAATTGTAGAAAGAGGCTAGGTATTTGAGAATAGAATAAGACAAATGACAGAAATAAGGTAGGAAAATGACAAAAAACTGCGATCAATTGGTCCCCGCCTGGGCAAAATGTCGATGCAATTATCTCTTAAAGGGTAGAGCGCGTAATTTAAAATTACGAATATAGTAAAAACATTCGAGGAATATTTGAAGAAAGAGTGTAGAAATGATCCAGAACTTGCAAAACATGTTTCGTTTCCACAAAAATAAAGCGAGCACTACTTAATTGAAGAAACAGTCCGTGTCCAAAAACCCCGGAGAAACACTGAAAGAATTCTGTGTTTTAAATTAGCATATTTTGAACGAATTCGGAATGTCTAAGGCGGAAAAAAAACCAACCTTTCTATAAGGAAACAATTATAGAAAAGGAATTTTCTTACACTGTATTCATGTCTCCGCCAGCAATTTGTGAAATCATTTAAAAGCTGCTAAGGAGCACGACGACATTATTTATTAGATGGCACATTCAACAAACCAATGTGCCAAAATGAGGGTATAAACAATCATTGATTATTTAATATCGAAACCGAGATCATGTAAGTTAATTGATTAGTTTTTGGTTTTAACACACTTTTCAAACACAAATTATATAATTTTTTACTGTAGACAGGTTGTTGCCAAAACACAGCAGAAATCTTCCAATAACTTACAAATATAAATACGTGAAATATCGAGGGCTTAGATTCATTTATACCCTCTATCTGCAATTTGCACAAAAACTAATTTGTGATTTTAGAAACCATCTGGGACTTATTACCTGTCATCACTGATATATTATTTATTTCAATTACGGTACAGATCTAACACAACAACCAGGCGGTTTTACTTTCAAGTGTTAGATTTTAGGATTACATGGCTAAGCACAAATGCATTTAATAAATTTAACTAGTTACTTACTTGCTATTTGAAAATGAAGAGTCGCATTAATTATATGACATATATAAGACAAGAGAGTTGAGAGGAAAATTGTAGAAAGAGGCTAGGTATTTGAGAATAGAATAAGACAAATGACAGAAATAAGGTAGGAAAATGACAAAAAACTGCGATCAATTGGTCCCCGCCTGGGCAAAATGTCGATGCAATTATCTCTTAAAGGGTAGAGCGCTCCTGATGGTAGGACCGCGGCGTAGGGTGACGCGTTGTGGCGCGTGAACGCCGGCCGCCGCGAAGCCAAGCAAATGTAATGTTTGAAAGAGCAATAGTGTGAATGGATTTAATTTCGCTTTTAAAAAGGTAATGTCTGTTTAAAGTCAGGAGACTATTTTGTCTTGACTGTAAAAATGTCTTTATTCAACGGAATCCAAAATTAGAGCGATCGAAAAACTTTACTGTGCATGTAATTTATACTACTTAAATATTGTTTGTTCAAGGTATGTATGCATATGCTAGCTTGAATACAAAACAGGAGCTTAGATAACTAACAGTATTTCAAATTGCTTTTTAGTTTGAGAGAACAAATGTTGAATAGATAAAAGCTTAACTATGTACATATGTACGTCGGCATATTTCAACAGGATTTTCCACCGGTAAAAGGCATAACTTGCTGATAGCTCTTTTTGTAATGCCGGTGCTTGTTTTCAACACTGCCACCCGAGCAACGCCATCTGATCCAGGAGTCGTTTCAATTACCCTTGCGAGTGGCCATCGAAGCGGTGGTAAATTTTCGTCCTTTATTAAGAAAAGATCGCCGAGAGGAATTGGAGTCTTTTGAGCACGCCATTTAAACCGCTGCTGAAGCTGCGTCAGATACTCTGTCGACCACTTCTTCCAAAAAAATTGCTGCATGCTAGATATACGCTGCCAAAGGCTAAGGCGGTTAATGTTTAGGTGGGTGACATCTGGATCAGGAATCGCAGTTAGGGGGCCACCTATTAAGAAATGGGCTGGTGTAAGAACATCAAGGTCACCAGTTCGAAAACGCCCTATCTCAGCAAATTTTTCAACATCGTTCTATCTCAGAACACGTTTCAAGAACGCCCTATTTCAGAATTTGATTGAAAAACACCCTCCCTCAAAATTTTTTTGAATAACGCCCTATCTCAGCTGCCGATTCAAAAACGCCCTATCTCAGCTTATTTTCAATGTATTTTCGTCTGAGATAGGGCGTTTGTGAACTGAATTCTCAGATAGGGCGTTCCTCAACAAAATTATGATAGAGTGTTTTTCAATAAAATTCTGAAATAGGTTGTTTTTCAATGAAATTCTGAAGTAGGTTGTTTTTCAATAAAATTCTGAAGTAGGGCGTTCTTGAAAAGTTTTCTGAGATAGGGCGTTTTCGAACCGGCTGCCGAGATAGGTCGATCTTCCACTCAGCCATCGATATCGGCTGGGTTGAGCGCTGATGGAACATAACGCCATTCCATTCCCTTTGTAAGCTGTTGGATACTGCTTAATCGATTTGCAACAAAAACATTAAAGCGTAAAGGTTCCTCATTCAGCTATGACAGAACTATACTGGAGTCAGACCAGCAATAAAACTTGCAATCGAAAATGTCGAGCTTAGAAATTGCTTGCACAACTTGTGCAAGTAATGTGGCAGCACTTAGCTCCAATTTCGGTGTTTTGGGAGGCGCGACCCGAGATTTCGAGCAGAGAAGAGCAGTTTGTGCATTGCATTTATTGATCGAACGTATGTACACACATACTCCATATGCCGAGATGCTAGCATCGCAAAATGCATGTACTTCGTTTGTAGCGTCTGGCATGGAAACAAAACGAGGAAAACAAAAACCTTTGACTGACTCAAGTTCATCATATAGCTGCTGCCAGGCAGTATGAAGAGAAATTGGAAAACTCTCATCCCAATTGACCTTCTCCATCCACAGTCGCTGCAAAAATATTTTCGCCTTACAAATTGTTGGTCCTATCAGGCCAAGTGGATCGTAGAAGCGCGCTATAACAGAGAGCACAAAACGTTTTGTAATTTTTGGAGGCAGCTTTTCTAACGAGAATGAAAATAGAAATGTGCATGTTTGAGGATTCCATACAAACCCAAGCGTTTTCGTAATGTCACTTCCGTCATCAAATTTTAAAAAACTTTCTTTATCCTCGACAGCAATTTGAGAGAGTACATCTTTCTGACTTGATCACCATTTTCGAATTTGAAAGTTGCCCTTCGCCAACAACTGAGTGGTTTGTGCAAAAATAGCTCTTGCATCGTCAACAGTCTGTGCCCCAGTAATCAAATCGTCGTCATAAAAGTCACGTAAAACAATTTGAGACCCAAGAGGAAATGATTTTTTCTCATCAACGGCGATGCATTGTACGTATAGCAAGGAACGACGCTGGCTTCGTGCCATAAGTGACTGTTTCGCGTTTAAAAGTTTTAATTTCGCTGTTTGGATCGTCTCTCTATAGTATACATTGTAAATAGTCATCAGGGGATGTAACGCGAACGCAACTATACATTTTACATATGTCACCAGTAACAGCTGCGGGATGAGTACGAAAACGAATGAGAATATCAGCCAGCTTGGGTTGAATCGTCGGCCCAGCCATCAAAATTTCATTGAGCGAGTATCCAGAAGAGCTAGCTGCTGAGCCGTCAAACACAACACGAAGCTTTGTTGTTGTACTGTCGCTTCTGAATACGCAGTGATGAAGTAAATAACAAACCTTTGTATTAACCGTCTCAGTGCTTGCTCATATGAATCCCCGAGTAAATCAAGGCTATGCTTTAGTGGTAAACGAACAGAGTACTCCCCAGTATCTAAGCGATGATAATTGTTTTTAAAATGCTCCTCACACTCTATCTCTTCCTTTGTTGTTTTTGCGATAGGTTCGAAGCAGTTGTCTGCTTCCCAGAATGAACGAACTATTTGGCTCAACGATTGTTGTTGTTCTTCGCTCCCGATTAACGCAGCTGCAAGCAATGACGAAATTAATGATTTCTGCTGGCCACCCGAAACAACCCAACCCAAACGGGTTTTTGTAAAACGTATGGTATATTTTTTAACCGAATTTGTCCAACACATAATAGGTCAAAGAATATCCCAGCCCCAAGCAACATATCAACACGCTGAGATTTAAAAAACAATGAATCCGCAAGCTTTATATTTGCAGGTAGCTTCTAGTCGGATGTACCAAAGGAATAATTAGGTTGACTGTCAGTGATGGTGGGAGTAACCGCAACTGTTATACTCGTTGAGTAGTCATTATGCATGGACTTAAATGCTATGTTAGCGCAGTGGCTAATTTTAAGATCTGATTCGCCAATACCTGAGACGGAGTACGAAAATTTCGACATATTCAAATCTACTTGGTTAGGAAACCTGGCTGTGACAAAATTTAACTGCGAAGCAGAATCCAATACAGCGCGACACGGAATGAAGGAACCAGTTCTATTTTCCACCAAGATGACTGCAGTTGCAGGGTCGGGCGAAATATTGTTAGACTTTGACACAAGTGTTGTAGCTTGCGCAGCTGACTCAGGTTTCTCATCGGGCGTGCAATCAGTGGTTGACTGTTGTGCCGGAATGAAATGCAAGAGAGTATGGTGCTGGGATAGGCAACGACGACAATTTGAAGATTTACATTGCTGAGCTTGATGCCCGTGTTTTAAGCAATTCAAACAAAGGTTTGCCTTTTTGGCCTCTTTCCAACGTATCGCCAGTGAGTTTAATAAATGACGGACACGTGTAAATAGAATGGTCTTCCTTTTTGCAAAATGTACACACTTTTGTGCATGGAATTTGAAACTACAAGCGATTTTGTCTGATACTGTGTTTTGCTGACCTTAGCGCTAGGTGTTTTCTGTACCGTAGCGAAATTAATGCTCTCCAATGTTTGACACCTCTTCTCAAGAAAAGTTTCCATACTCTTCCACGTAGGTATGTTGCTGCATGCGGCTGATTCTTCCCACTTGGTTTTGCTGAGATGGATCCAGCTTTTGAGACACGATAAGTATGAGTAGATAGTCGGCTATTTGTATCTTGCTCCCTAGGGTCTGAAGTGCTCGGATGCGAGTCGTGAATTTGTCAACAAGTACGCGAAGACTACCCACAGTGTTGGCTTCTGCACTTTTAAGTTCAAATAATTCGCGAATGTGAGCCTGAAAAACAAGGCGTTTATTATTATTGCTTTCGCGTATTTCCAGGGAACGAATGACATCTAAGGCGCTGCCCTTCAAACAGGACCGCAGGTGCTGGAATTTTTCTATCTTCGTAAGCTCTGGCTCATTATCGACCACAGTTTGAAACATTTAAATGAAATTTGGCCACTCCGTGAAGGCACCTGCGAATGTTGGCAGCTAAAGATCGGGCAAACGCGATTTATTTTGCTTTAATACAGCTACTGATTGGGAATCCTGCGGAGAAAATACTGCTGTGGATTGCTGACTTTATGGAGACATAAATGGCGAGAAAATCAGTACGGCTGCTACTATCCAGTTCATCAGTATTTTTTTTCTTCCAAGTCAGTCTGGGCGGCCTCTAAATTGCCCAGTATGTGATCCAGAAGCTCGATGCGCGTCGAAAGTTCTGCATGGTCCATGGCTTGAAGCGCTTCAATTGTACTTTGACGCTGAATAGTCACGATTTGTCGAAATATAGCGTCACACTTTCTTTTTAAAAAAGAATTCTGCAGCTGCGGAGTATCACCCAATGTTACGTCTTGATCGGTAGGCATTTTGAGTAATGGATAGCGAAAAAAGAACTTGCAAAAGAAAACCCGTGTTTAAGTGAACGGTGAAATCATACGATTTGGCAGACTGTGATGCTGCCTGCGAATCTCGATTAACGCGCAAATCGCGTTACACAATATTTGTTTTTGTCTAACGTGTCACCAAATGTGACCACGTCGGGGTTACCAATGTTTAAAGTCAGGAGACTAGTTTGTCTTGACTGTACAAATGTCTTTATTCAACCGAATCCAAAATTAGAGCGATCGAAAAACTTTTCTGTGCATGTAATTTATACTACCCAACAAGCATTTGAGTAAATGTTTTTAAAAATAACTTAAAGTAAGTTTGCTATAATAAGCGTTAAATAAGCATTTTTAATATTAAGCTTATTAAAAGTTTTTTCAAATAAACCTTTAATAAGTTTTGAGAGCGAATGTTTATAAATAACTTAAACTTATAAATGAAATG